GGGGGAGGTGGTGGTTGACGGACGGACACAAGTGCACAAGCAGCGGCGGCAGAAGGTGCGGTGTATTTCCTGCATGCAGACTCACCAGGAGGCCATCACGCAGCTGCAGGAGCAAGCCGACCAGGTACGTCCACACACAGAGGGTTGGGGGCTTTGGGAGAGGAGGAGTGGGGGGGAAGGTGTGTCTGTGTGTTCAGGAGCGTCGTGCGGCTGAGGAGATGACACAGCAGGTGCGCGCGGAGAAGGACAAGGAGATGGCGAAGCTACTGGAGGTATCATCATGACACACACCCCATCCCGCCCCACCCCCACCTCCACCCCCACTCACAGTTGTGTGTGTATCTGGCACATTGCTGTTCAGTCGCACCAACACGCGCTCGCCCAGCTGAGCAAAGAGATCAACGAGGTAGGGTACCCACAGCGCACCATTCCGACACCCTACACAATTGTCGGACTCTTCTGTGTGTGGCAGCTGTCTGGTGAGAAAGCTGAGCTGCTGCAGCGTGCCACACAGATGGAGGGCCGTGTAGCAGAGGTCCGTTTGCTCAAACATGTCATCGGACACGCACACACAGACAACTGATTCGTGTGTGTGTCTGTGTCTGTGTGTCTGTGTGTGTGTGTGTGTGTGTCTGTGTGAGTGTGCAGGTTGAGGAGGAGGTTCGGCGTAAGATGGCGGAGGCGGCCAGTCAGGCCGAGAAGAAGGCAGCCGAGGTGGGCATCAAGGCAGGGAGGGTTCTTCATCCAATCCATCCTCAGGCGGAGCGTACGCACTCGACGGAGCTGACTGAAGCGATGCAGGCCGCACAGAAGGAGAAGGACGGAGTGCGCACACACAGACACACACAAATGCAAGCAAGGCACACCCCACACGACACAGCGCCCCGCCCCCATCTGACATCTGTGTGCAGCTCATCCAGCAGAACGGCGGTCTCCGCGATTCCCTCGAGAAGGCAAACAAGCGCATAGAAGAGGTAGGTGACCGAGCAGACCACATCATCCATGTCGTTCCTTCGTTGTGTGTCGTCCATCCATCCATCCATGTGTGCAGTTGTTGAGTGAGAAGGCCGATTTGGAGCGTTGCCTCGCATACACGGAGGAACAACACAAGAGCCGCATAGCAGAGGTAGCTCAGTCGGTCAGACCGCCATGGCTCACAAGGCGCCACTGTGGTTGTGTTGCCTTAGTGTGTGCAGGTGGAGCGTGCCAAGAAGGAGCTAGAGGAGCAGACCAAACAGCTGCAGCAGTCGTGCCAACAGGTATTGCCGGCAAGCAACCACACACTCACAGGCATCCATCGATGCGTCATTCGTGTCTCTCTCTTTGCTTCTCCTGGCCTGTCCAGTTGGAGAAGGACTTGTCGGCTGCCAAGCAGGACGCCGCTAAGGTATCCATTCAGGCAAGCACCCAACAGCTGGATCTGTCTGTCTGTCTGTGTCACGGTCACCAGTGGAGTGGCGAGGCGTCTCAGCTCACTGCACAACTCCAACAGACCAAAGCAGAGGCCGCACAGGCAGGCATCACACACACCTCACACCGCCCGCACAAACACGGCGACGGCGTCTGTGTGCTCCTCCCTTCATTCATTAGGCCCAGAAGGCCCTGCAGGAGCAGCACGACGCCGCCCAGCAAAAGGCCACTCAGTCGCACCAGCAGGCACTCGGCAACCTGAGCAAACAAGTCAATGAGGTAAGTCACACAACACCCAACACACAGTAAACACGGCCCTACACATGACTGTCTGTCTGCACATGTGCAGCTGCAGGAGCGCCTCAGTGCCGCCCAGCAGCAGGCAGACGAGCATCGCAAGATCACCGAAGGCCTGCAGACGTCTCTCACCGCAAAGGACAAGGAGGCCGCCCAGCTCAAGCGGCAACTCGACGAGCACAAGAAGGTCCTCGCCTCCATGCAGCAGACAGCCGAGCAGCAGCAGAAGGAAGCACTCGCCGCGCAGGTGCAGGCCGCCGAGCAGCACAAGAGAGCCATCGACGAACACAAGAAGGCCGTCCAGCAGCAGCAGAAAGCGCTCGACAACAAGACGACGGAGGCCGAGCAGCTCAGGAAGCGGCTCGAGGAGACCAGACAGGCGCTGTCGGGTGTGCAGAGGGAGCAGGGTGAGCAGCTGGCGGCGTACGAGGCTCTGCAGAAGACACATGAGGACCAGCAGAAGGCACACGAGGAGCAGATAGGCGCGGCAGAGGAGCAGAAAAAGGCGGCTGATGAGGTACATGTATGTGCCGACGAATGCTTTGTGTATGCGTGTGTGTCTCATGTGTGGTGGTGTGTTGTGATATCTTCAGGCGTTCCGGCAGCTGCAAGCTCAGCACGAGAAGGCCATGGAGGACATCCAGGCCAAAGCCATGGAGGAGATCCAGGCCAGAGACAAACAGCTCGCCGAGATCCAAAAGAAGTACAATCAAGTAACCGACTGGAGCACAGGAGCTATACCATTCACACCACAACAACAGGCACACCTGTCTCCCTCCCCCTCCTCCCCCTCTGCACTGCAGCTGGAGGCCGACCTTCGCAAAGCCACCGCCCACCCCCCACCAGCACCAGCAGCAGCAGCAGCGGCGGCCCACCAGGCCGCCTGCGGCCCCGTGGTCTTCAAGAAAGGCAAGAGGGGCGTCGGCAAGGCCAACGACCCGCAGGGACACCACGACGAGATCGTCGTGTCGGCTGACGAGGTGGCCGAGGTCGGCGATGGGGCCGGCGGTGGGCGAGGGGCGGCAGCGGAGCGTGGTCGGGCCAAGGGTGGTCGCCGGCCGCGGCTGAGGAAGGATGACGAGACCAAGGGGGCCGAGGCGGTGGAGGAGGGTGAGGGTGAGGGTGACGAGCACATGGGTGGCGATGAGGAGGGTGTAGCCATAGCCAAGAAGAAGAGGGGCTTGCGGGGAAAGGCTGACGCAAAGGAGGTGAGAAAGAAACACTGGCGGCATCCCACACACGGATGTGTGTATGTGTGTGTGTGTGTCTAGGTCAAGAAGCGTGTAGGGAAGCGTCGCCACCACGAGGAGGATGAGCATCCGGCTGCTGCTGCTGCCGCTGCTGCAGCGGGTGGAGAGGGTGAGGACGAGGAGGGGATGCGCACCCCCGAACAAGTGCCGGCCAAGAAGAAGACCCGACTCAAGGACAACACACCATCCGTAAGACAGAGACATGCAAAGACAGACACACGGGAATACGTCTGTGTCGTGTGTGTGTGCGTTTGTGTGTGTGTTTCTTCTGCAGAAGACGCCCCCCAATCCCCAGCAGGTGGAGGAGTGGCAGCAGTACAAGCGCGAGCCGCTCGAGAAGTTCGCAAAGGTATGTCGGACAATTGCTGGACGCTCTCTCCCTCTCTCTCTCTCTCTCTCTCTCTCCGGGCAGCACGTGTGTGTGATGTGGTGATGTGTGTGTCGTTGTTTGTGCAGATGAAGGGCGTTGAGATCGAGAGACGTGAGAAGAAGGACAGCATTATGCAGAAGCTGTGCGCGCACTACGAGAAACAGCGCAAGAACCAGCGCCACCAGCAGGGGCCTGCGGCTGCCCATGACGAGGAGGAGGGTGGCGAGGGGGATGAGATTGAGGAGGAGAAGGAGGAGTAGTCAGCCACACATGGATGGACAGGCAGATGCAGCCGATAGCATGGAGAGCACACACACACCCCATTGATACGGACCGACTGAGTAGCTGGTGTTGCCGACTGACATACCACATCGAATGCAATGCACGAATCTGTGTGTATGTGTATGTCCGTGAAGGTAGCTTGTCATGTCACCTCTGCAGCTGGCATGACAGACAGACCACTCGGTCGATTTTGCAACAAACACGACCGAGAAGAGAAGATCAGCCAGCATCTGTCAGTCAAGACCAGCCAGCATCTGTCAGTCAGGGTGGATGAGTGAACTGGCTGACATGTCGATGTGTGACATACGTTAACTCATAGCGCAACGGCAGGCAGAGTCTGTCGGTCTCTCATGAAACGAACTGCGTCAACGTCGATCAACCCTCAATCATGCGACAAACATGCCAGCACCATCCTCAGCGCCCGCCTGGCGTATCTTCCAGCGGTGCCGCCCACCACACACACACATACTCGCACTACGCGCCAACGCTGACATGTCGATACATCTAATGAATGCATTCCTTGTCTGCCATCCTCAACACACAACAGCAGAACAAACTCGCTGTTGCGGATCGAAATGGGCCGTTCTGTTCCGTCCAATCCTATGCAGAGGTCTCGACAGTATCCGGTGATTTACATCCAACGGTGAGATCTCCGCTGTTCCCGTCGTGCCTTGCGCATCGGCAGATCTGCCGTTCGCTCCCTCACTCCCTCCCTCTCACCATGGATGATGCAGGTGAGGGTGAGGACGACCATCGCATGACGGCCCGGCAGCTGGCCTTGCTCAAGGCTGCCGGCGGGCAGAAACGCAAACCCATAATGGACGTCGACACCAGCAGCAGTGACGAGGAAGGCTCGGAGTCTGGAAAGGGAGGGCGGCGCAGGAAGGCCGGTAAGAAGAGGCAGCGGGGGGATAGGAAGGGTAAGGGTAAGGGCGATAAGAATGGCGGCGGGAGGGACAAGATGGAGGTGTCTGACGACGACGAGGATGTGGAGATGAGGACTCAGGGATGCAGATGGCTGATGGGTGATGGGTGCATTTCCGTGTGTTTTGTGGTTTGGCTTCGTTACTTCATGCAGGATGTAGTTGAGGTTTGTCATGCTGATGCGTTGAAGGCTCTGAAGCAGATGACGATGAGGCTCGAAGCGCAACTCAAGCAGGCCAAACAGGCCGAGAAACAGGTACCTCGTGGAAAAGAGAGGCTGGCGGAATGGGGGAGGGAGTACTTGACTTTGTGGTGTGTTTGCTGCGTGTGCGTGTTGATGCCATCATCCAGGCTCGTGAGGTGTATGAGTTGAGGATGGCCGCCCCTGATGCCGAATCGCTCGAACACCAACACCGCATCTCGGTGAGTGAGTAGGTCAGGGCCAACATTATACACACATCAAACGACATCAACACACACAGCCTCTCCTTTTATGTGTGTGGTGTTGTTCAGGAGGTTGATCGTCAGATTCGCGTGTGGTCGAGCATGGTGTGTGCCGACGTCGACACGCAGATCAGCCACGTGGACAAGGTCGCTACCAGGCAGATGAAGGAGAACATCCGCAAACTCGACGCCATCCGACACAAACTCAACGAAACCGACGAAGACGACGCTGAGCAGGTCAACGCAGCACAAGACAACAGACAGAACGAAGGAACCCACCTCCATTTCCCCCTGTTTCGTGCTCTATGTCAGGCCAAGTCGCATCTTGAGGGTCTGCCTGAGGCCCTCTGGATGGCCGACGGTGTGGGTATGGGTGCCATGATGGGCTTCGTGTCGTGCCTGGAGTCGCTGGCGAGCGTCAACACGTTCTTCCGCCACCTCACACAGTCCAGCGGCATGCACCCCATCGTCGAGCTGGACGACTCACCCAAAATGAAAATTGCGAAGAAATGGGCGGCCGGTGAGGAGAGCGGGAGCCGACACATCTGTGTGTGCGACCAAGTGTGGTGTGCTGTGTGTTATGGTCAGGTCCGTTGTCCGAGTGTGCTGATGTGCGCATCTGTCATCGGCCCACCAAGTCGCTGGTGTACCTGCTGGAGCGCCTCTCGGTTACGGTCGAGAGTGTGGACCTGCAGTGCCCCTACGAGCATCCCATCTACAGAAATGGCAAGCATGCGCCAGAGAGACAGGTGCAGTACAACGTGGAGCGAGACATGCGTCAGAGGAAAGGCGACTTCCAGAAGGTCGACCTGCCACAGAACAAGGTGAGGGCGTTGACAAGACACACAGGCTTCCTTGCGCTCATCATTGTTATATCTCCCCCTTGTGTGTCCGGTAGAAGCCGATTGTGTTTGAGCGTGTGGAGTCAGCCAGCGTTGGCACGGTGTGGATGATGGTGGCAGAGGACCGCATGTACCAGATGCCGCACCTGCAAGGCCTCAGTGTGGTGGACATCACCATCGCTGGGGCTCATCGGTGGATCCGCGAGGCTGATGGGGGCATAAAATCGCTGCACATCATCTGCGACAAGGTGAGGAGGCCACTCAGAGAGGGAAGGGGATACATAGCTGCATGAACGACTGATCTCATGTTGCTACTTTGCTTCCAGGAGGATCCGAAGTGCCGAGGTGCCGCTGCGAGTCTCAGCGAAGTAGCAAACGCCCTCGCCGACACGCCATCAGGTGATGATGATATGAATCCGCGCACGCCCCCGCGAGTGTGACGTCACGGTCCTCGCCCTTTGTGTGTGTATATCAGCCAAGAGCCTCACGTCGCTGACCGGCCGCATCGAGTTCTCCAACGACCCCATCGGTGGCTTCATCAATGTGGTGGGAGTGGCTGAGGACGAGGGCGGCCCGCTTGGCTTCATCGGCAACATCGTCGGCAACCTGGTCGGAACGAAGCGGGACAAGGCAGGCCCCCTGGAGGAGATCGAGATGGCCATCGGGGAGATCCACAGCACACAGAAGATACAGGTGGGGAAGAAACACAGACACTTCCCGCATCCATGGCTATCCCCCGACCCTTTCGTCTTGTGTGTCGTTTGCACAGCATCTGCACGACTTTCGCACCAAGTGCCTGGCCCCTGACGCGTGTGAGAACTATTTCGGCCGCATCGAGGAGGGCGAGCTGCAGGGCGGCCCCACCGTCCATCTGCCCTTCTTCGGCAACAAGAAGGCCCTCACCGACTCCTTCTCGACGGTGGAGGTGTGCTGCCGGCAGGCCGAGAAGGTGACCCTCGACAGCCGCCCCTGCGCCGACACCATCAAAGAGGCCCCCGGGCTGGACTCGCTGGTGTGTGAGCACTCCCACGAGCTCACCATCATACGTGCGGGCGGCACCCAGCAGCTGCCCTCCTACATCACGGACGACCCTACATCGCTCTTCCCGAGTGTGTCGTCTGTCATGGTTTCGCAGGGACGGGAAGGCAGGGGTGTGTATGATGGTGGGGCGGGTGATGTGCTGCATGCCCTCTCCCCCCACTTAGAGAAGGTGCGTTTTGAATTGTCTGCCCGCGCGAACCCAGAGGCCACATGCACACTGCTGCCTGATGGCCTGGGGTTTGTTTCAGATGAAGGCAGAGAGTTAGCAGTCCAGTTGACGTACGATTTCGAGCGTGTCACCTTCGATGCAGAGGGCAATTGGGTATACTGGGAAAACGTGTCTGTGGAGTGGAAGTTATGTAGAGAGACAGAGGCAGTGAGGCAGGTGATGGAGAGTGGCCGTGTCTCCTCACTCGACGTGGAGATCAGACATCATTTCAACACTACAGAGTCGCGCAAGTTTTACGCTTCATTCGCTGAGTGTGTGGTGGTGGCGTTTTCAGCCTTTCCCGCCCTCAACAGTGTGGTGCTGTCTGTCCGGTACAAGCCCGGACATCTGGTTAGTATGTTGAGGCAGGGCGCTAAGAAGAGGTGTCGCGTGACAGAGAGGGCTGACGGGACGATAGTGCTGCGGCCCAGCCAGGCCAGACAGAGAGCTAAGAAGAAGGAGGGAGAGGGAGAGGAAGACCGAGAGGGAGAGGGAGAGGATGAGACAGACACCGTCATCAAGAAAGAGGAGGAGTAGAGACACACAATTCACTCACTTACATTGCACTACAGCACTGTCTCGAGTGGGAGGGTATTGGGGTGGGAGGGGCTGTAGTGCATCTTTGGATCCATACATGTGTGTGGGCTGCGGATTGGCTTGTCGGCTCACGGATGGCGTGGAAGGCCTGCCTGGCTGCCTGGGTGTGGGGTCACTGTATGAGAGTGCTGCCACTACTAGGCTCTCGATGACACATGTGGCCCTCACTCCTTGCGGCCCTTCCTGCCAGCCCCTGACAGCCATCTCATGTGTGTGGATGTTCGTGTGTGGATGGGTGGGTGGATGGATGGATGGATGGAATGCATGTTGAACCGTTCCACGTGAGAGAATTCACACACCAGTGTGTCTGTCTGTCTGTTCGTCTCACAAATGCACTCGATGCGGGAAACGAGATGCGGGAAAGGAGATCTCAATGGCGGGCGGAAGAAACTGGTCCACATCCCATCCGCAACACATGGCCGGACGAAACGCACACCACACACGAGCATCTATCTATCCGCTAGCTGCTGCCACCCACCCACATAACAGAGCTAGTTGTTGCCATTGACTGTACACATCCCGCTAATGCTGCTGCTACTGCTACTGTCCTGTCGCCCCTCCAGTGCCACAACCAGCGGCCTGAACCACTCGTGCGACAGAATGTCCTCCACCTTGATTCGACTCAACGGATCCTTGTCCAGCAAGCGGCTGATGAGGGAGGGGAAAGAAGACAGGAGACAGACGGAAACACGGACAGCGCTTGACGGTCTGTCGGCCGGTGTGTGGGGTCAGTCGGCTTACGTGATGAGGTCTCTGGCTTCGTTTGTGATTGGCGGCTTGGACGGGATGACCAGGGGGTCCTGCAGGAGGCTAAACTGGGCTGCAAGTGGGGTCTCGTGCCTGAGAGAAAAATCCCATCAATGACGCGTCCGCCCACCAGGCCGTGCATGTGTGTGTGTGTGTGTGCAGGCGGCAAACATCCCTACCAGAACGGCGGTCTTGCGAAGAGCATGCAGGAGAGTGTGCACCCCAGAGCCCACACGTCCCGTGGCGGCCCCAATACACCGCACTGAGACTTGTTCGAGTCAAACAACTCAGGGCTGCCAAACAGGTGGGTGCCGTCTGCTCTCAGACACCACCAGACCACACCACACCACACCACACCACACACAGACAGATGGATGCACCTACACGAAGCCACCCAGATCTATTGTGTTAGTCACGCCCCACCTGCGTCGTAAAATCGGTGTCCATCTTGGTCCATCTTCTCGGCAGTGGTGAAGTCCACTATCTTGGCCATCCACCCACACGCACCACCCAGCCTCTCACTCACACACTCCTGCCCTCCTCCATGCCCTCCCCCTCCCCCTCCCTCTTGCCGCACCTCCCCTGCCCCTGCCCCTGTCGCTGCCGCCGTGGGTGCCGTCTGTCCTAATCGCTCTATCTCGGTCTCCGCCACGATAGGCGCGTCATCCCAGCAAAAGTCGTCATCATCCCCCCGCAGCCCCATCTCGTCATCGGACGACCCGCACGCATCGTCCTCTTCCATCATGTCGTCGTCATCCAGGGGGTCGCCGCCCCAGCTGCGGCCGTCACTGCCATCGTCCTCTTCATGGTCGTCGTGTTGGATGGCGGGTGCAGGGGGGGCCGGGAGGCTGATAGGGGCGGGGGGTCGTGGTGGGTCTTGTCGGTCGGCTGGGGGAGCGTCAGAGGGGAGCATCAGCTCGCGGACGGCATCTGGGGTGGTGAAGGGAGGAGGGAGGAGGGCGATGTGGGGGTGCGTGGTGGGGTGGTCGGTGGGTTGACTGACTTACCTGTCGCATGTGCGATGGATTTGGTGAGGATGACATTCTCCGGTTTGATGTCCTTGTGTACCACACCCACGCGACGCAGATACATCAGCCCGCACACTACCTGCGCACACACACCAACACACCAACACAGCCACCAGTCAGTCCACTGCATGTATATTCACCCACTCCATCCTGTCTTCTTACATGGACAAGAATGTGCCTCGCCGCGTGCTCACTGTACACCATGACCTTCTTCCCATCCGCGGCGGCCATCTCCTCCTCACTCCCACCCGCGCCATTATCACTACTCGTTTGTGGCAGCAGCAGGGCGCCCGATGCGCCTATGCTGCTCGATGTCGATGGCTGGTCCTGCCCCTTGTTGTCCATGGGCACCGAGTAGGCCATCTTCTTGGTGTCCCACTTCATGATTTGGCCGCCGTCGAGGTACTCCAGTATGACGTATAGGTAGCCCTTGTCAGTGTCCGTCAGCACCTACACACACATACAGAGGCAAAGACGTGTGTGTGTTTGCCTGAATGGATGGAAAAATCCCCCGACACACACCTGCATCTGGCGGCAGATGTTGGGATGGCTGAGTGTCGCGTGCAGCGCTATCTCATCGAGCACCTGACATGGATGGACATGAGAAGGCACGGCCACAGAACGTCAGTCAACCCACTTGTTTGCTGCACCACCTCTGTGTGTGTGTCAATGAATGTCTGACCGACCTTCGAGAGGGCGCTCTTGGTCTTGACGAGCCCGCCCGGGCCATACACTGCCGTCCGGTTCGACTGAAGCGATGACAGCAAGAACACCTGCATGGAACACACACACACACACACACCTCTGAACAACCGCATGCATGTTGATCTTGATCTCTGGCATAGAATACCTTTGCCGCATACTCCTTGTACTTTTCATCGGCCTTTTTGACTTTCCTCACGCGGGCCCAGCTGCCTCTGGCGATGAATCGGTCGACGAGGTACTCGTTGACATACCTGTCGCCCCGCTGGCCCTTTCTGTACACCACGGGGACGCCTGGCAGGTCCGCATCTGCCGCGTCGTCGTCGTCATCAGACCATCGATGGGCGGAGATCTGCGACATTTGATGAGTCAGGAAGACGGCAGATCAGCCTCAAGCATCTTCTTCGCTCGCTCTTCCGCCCCTCGCTGAGCTCGCACGAAGAGGCGAAAAATTGGGAGAGAGGCGAAAACCGCTGCTGGGAGGCGTGAGCACCACCGTCTGGCTTGGAGGCCCGATGAGGTTCGCATTTCAGCCCAAGGCTGCACTGCCGCCTGCCTTGTATCCCTCCAAGCCTCCCAGGTCCGCCCTGATGTACCCACAGCGCTACAGCCAGCGGCTGGTGGCCTCGAGCGCCACTTTCATCGTCCCCATCGCTGTGGCTGTCTGTCAAAACCACTGGGACTTCGCTACGCTGGCATCGCTCGTTCTTGTGACTTCGCTCAACCACTGGCGCTCCCCTGTCTTCACAAGGTGTGAAGGGGTGGTGGGTGGGGAGGGAATTTAAGGCAAGGCAATGAGGGATATCGGGAGAGAGAGCTGCTGACTGTCGTGCGTGTTACTGTGTGTGTTGCTGTGTGCAGCTGGAGGCGGCGGGTTGACACGACGCTGGTGCGGGGAGGCACAGTCTACCATCTCGTGCAGGCGCTCAAGGGACTGCAGGTGCGCATCGATTTCCCACGCGAGGACAGACCAGACACTCACTGCTAATGCAGATCGATGCACGACACTCGGCTAAATTTCCTGTCTGTCTGTGTTGTTTGTGCTCACAGCTTCTGCCTCTGCTCGGCTTCCTCTCCCTGACGTCGGTCGGCGCGTCGCTGTATCTGATGGCCATCGTCTACGGCCAGAAGGGGGAGCACAACCGGGCGTCGCTGTGCCATGTGGGCTTCCACCTGTCGTTCGTGGTGGGCAGCTGTCTGCTCTACTGCACTCTCAACCCCTCGCCCATGGACCTCCCCATCCCTGTCGCCCTCACCGTGGCCAGGCTGCTGCCCAGAGACTGACTCACTGATCACTGACTGACCTCCCGGCAGCAAAGACAGACAGGCCGACAGAGAGGGGGGAGAGGGAGGGAAGTGGTTTCCTCTTCTGTCTGTGAGAGAGCTCTCTCCCGGGGCGGCGATTTTGACATCTTGACGGTATGGACGGACATACAGGGAGGGCGGGGAGGGGAGGGAAGGGGAGGGGAGAGAGGCGTGTGTAGGTGTACATAGGTGTGCGTTCGTTCGATCGGTGAGGAAAGGCGGGACCCGATAACAGACAGAGGCGGGAGGCAGCGTCGCGCCGCTTTTTCGGTTTTTCGATATATGTCCATGTCGGCTTATGGGATGGACAGCTCAGCTGGATGGACATATATCGGGTGAGTGAGCATGATGGAGCAATTTTCCGTGTGGAACGTACGAACCATCGATGTGCGTGACGAATGGCGTGTGCGTTGGGGGGGAAAGGACGGGTGTGTACTGACTGCCTTCATGCAGTGGTCGTGAAATGCTCTCTGAGCTAGAGAGAAGGTGGGTCACTCACTGATCGACTAGAGGTCAACTTGTACAGGGCACAGGAGTAGGTAGATAGGTCAGGATAACTAACTGGCTGGAGGCAGGCAAGGCAGGGAGCGGGGGAGATTGCAAACCTGATTTGTCTGCTAGCACTTTGCCGAACGAACACATACGCGCTAGCTAGCTGTTCTGACGCTCACCACATTACCTCTACCTCTCTGCCACTGGCCCTGTCTGTCTGTCTGCGTGTGAATGGCTGGCTGGCTGGCTGACACTAGCAACTAGTAGGGTGGATGGTATGGTGCGTCCTGCATGCAGCATGGTTTGCCTTGCCTGCCTGCCTGATGCGGTGGGTGATCTCTGTCTGTCTGCCCACGTCATGTACAGCAAAGGGCAGAGGGACGGACATTGGCATATGTTCGTTCTTGTGAGACGATGTCGCTGGTGGCAACGAGGGCTCGCAGAGCCAATTAACATGTGTGTGAGGCCTGAGAGACTCACAAACAGCAGAAAACACTGAGAACACCACAGTAAGGCTTCAGCGACGTAACAGTCTCTCTCGGGTTCGAACCGAGGTTGCTGGATGGCATCCGGCGGCACGGTCAAAGTCCAGAGTGTTTCCACTACACTAAGAGACCAAGCATCATACAGGTGGTACAGCCAATATATTGGTTCTTTTGGGAACACCTCCTCAGTCGTTCACACTTCTGCAGCTGTTGGAGTGGCTGCAGATCTGCCGACCGGTGATGTGATGAAGATCCGCCGGTTGTCTGAGTTGGGTGACCTCGGCCTGTGGGCGAAAGGCCCCAACTGGGAAAGCCGACGATACTTCGTCCGAAAGGCAAGACTAGACGCCATTCCATTCACCGACTGACTGGACTGCCTGATGCACACAAAGTTGGATCTTGCTGGCTGGCTCATGGATATATGATCAGGACGGGACGAGCTTTTCGCTGCATGACACTCACGTGGCGCCCAACACGCAGACCAACATACAGTAAGTGAGCAGCCAGCCAACACAGGCGGCCGGCTCGGCTGCAGCACATGGAGATGGATCATTCATTGTGCCGACCGAATGATGGATGGATGGATGGATGGATGGCTGCAGCTACGCCAACCACATCGAAGCCTGCCTCATCTACAGCGGCTCATGCACAGTGACTGACAAGCAGACCGGCGAGGCACACGCCCTTGGTGCGGGGGAGGCCTACCTGCTTGACCAGCACGACAGACACTCGGTGACCGCCGGCCCTGACGGCTGCAAACTGGTCTGTGTGTTCACACCGCCCTGTGACGGCCGGGAGGTGCACAATGAGAAGGGCATTTATCCCGTGATTACTGAGAAGGGCGTCTATTACGAGAGGGCGGACGCTCTGCAGGCGGAGATTGACATGCTGGAGGCATTGGTCAAGGACAAGAAAGAGGAGCTTCTGAGGATCAAGGGGGCGTAGATGTGAGAGGCTGTCAATGACGTCGATCTTTTGTGCGGTTGGTGTCGGTGTGGCGTGATGGTCTTTATCTTGATGTGAGGCATATATATGTTTTGTTGTTGACTGTGTGCATGAAGACACGTACATGTAGTATATTTGATAGGCAGCACTCACTCACTAACGCGTCCGTCCCCGTCTTCCTGTAATCACTCACTCGAAGGTTCGTGTACACGATGGCTGGCAACACAACCAACACAGACAGACGCACACACAGACAGCGACAACACGCACACACATCTAGACACATGCACACAGGCAGGCAGGCAGTGAGGCAGGTCCCTCCCTCCCTCCCGCCCTCCCTCGTGCATGTGATGTGCACCCATGCATGTGTGGTTGTGGATCAATCACACCAGTCAGTCGTCCATCCGTCCATCAGTCGAGTCATCCATCTCACTCACTCAGTCGCTCTCTCCTCTCAAAACTCATCCCTCTGGATGCATCGATGCAGCACGCATTTCTTCATTGTCAGGCACGCAGGCAAGGCAATCGTCACCGCGCTGCGCTGCGCTCGCTGCAAGCAGGGGCCACTCACCAACCACCCACCCGCCCCACCGACCCTCCCTGCCACACACATACATACATCCAACTAACCAGCAGTCACCCACACGGCAGGCACCCTGCTGCAGCAGACAGGCAGGTAGACAGACAAGGCAGCTAGTCGAGGTGAGGCGAGGCGAGGCGAGGCAAGGCGGCATGTGAAGTTCCCTCCTTTACTCTACAATCAGTAGAGTCGATCGCTCCCGTCTGCGTGATGGGCCCTTCCTTTTGCTTCCTCCGAGCACCCACATCCACCCTCCCTCCCACCCCTCCCCTTCTCTATACAACAGCAGGGCATCAAGTATGTATGTAAGTATGCATGTATGTGTGTATGTGTGCGCGGTGGGTCCATCCGTTCAGCAGTCGTGTGCGACGGAGCGTGTTGATGTGTGACCTCAGACAGACGTGTGGCGGGTGGCGCGGCAAGTCGAAAAATCATTCCTGTGACGCAGGCAGCGCATGTCAGGCAGGCAGGCAGGCAGGCAGCATGTCTCTAGTCTGCCCGGCGTGAGTTGTCACCTTCTGCATTCTCCTCTCGCCAACCGTGGGTCGGCTCAATTGTCCGTATCTCGCAGACTGGCGAGCCACAGGCAATCGGGCCGCAGCCCGGACGGCGAGAGAAGAATGCAGGGCTGACAGACAGAAGCAACCGTATCGCCACACGTTTGGCAGGGTGGCAATGCAATGGGCACTAAAGCTACACGCATGGACGTATGGGTCGACGTAGACAAGACAGACAAGCAGGCAGGCAGGCACGGAAAAAGATCCTCATCTCTCGTGTTGCTTGCCTTTGTTCCTCCCTCTCTCTCTCTCTCTGTGTGTCTCTCTCTCTCTGGCTCCCCGGCTGCTCAGTAGAGCGTCTCTCGTTCCCCATACACACCACACCACACACAGATGGGCAAACGGAAACAGACAACGAGTGTTGTGCTGATGAAAGGAAATGAGAGGAAGAGCGGTCAGTGTGAAGAGGCAGGCAGGCAGGCAGGGGAGAGCGGACAACGCAGCAGAGAGAGCCAAATTCGTTTCAGCCATCCATTCACTTATTCATGTCATGTGTGTGTCGAGAGAGAAGAAAGACTAGAGGAAGGCAAGGCAGGAGTGCATCCATCCAGGCAGTCAGGCTGGCAGAGGTATTGATACATACAGACACAGGCGAGGTTCGTCGATCGATCCACATGATACAGACAGACACATTCGCATGCATGATGGTACATATGCCCTCTCTTTAGGCATTCATTCATTGGTCGCTCATCTCACTCACTCTATCGCTCAATCGCTCACTCAATCAGTCACTCTGTATTATAGAAGAACGGGTGGATGCATGGACGAATGGATGGACGCACGGACGGAAAAATGAGAGCAGGGCAGGGCAGGAGTGTGGTGTGATTGGATGGATGAATGGTGTGGCATGCCGTGTATGCATCGTACGCATGGACACCTCCCTCACTCCCTCCCTCCCTCCCTCCCTCCCAACACGCGGACAAAATCGACCAATCACAGGAAAAGGAAGGAGGAAGAAACCCACTCAGCCACCTGCTCAGCCAACCCAGCCTCGCCGTCGTCTGCCTTGCCGTCGTCTGCCTTGCCTTGCCTGCCTCTAGATTTAGAGGTGCCCCCTCCATTGCTGCTGGCCATACATGGCCCCCCCGTAACCCATGTACACATGGTGCCCCTCGTACGGCCCCGGCTCATGCGGCCCCAGCACGGGCGAGAACCCGTGGCCCTGGTGGGCGGGCGGGAATGGCATGGGCGGCGAGGGGAATGAGGGCGTGGTCTGTGGGTAGTGCCTGGAGGGGGAGGGCGGCAGGGGGATGGGCGACTCCACGCCGGAGGGAGGGGCGGGGGCGTACGATCGCACGGGGGCATCCGCATGGTCCAGAGCAATCTGCACACAAACCATGGAGAGAGAAGACGATTGCGGCTGTGCATGTCCGTGTTGGTCCATGTGTGTTTGGACATACCTGTCTTCCATCGATCGTGTGTGGCGCTGCACCGAAGACCGCCTGGACGGCTTCAGGGGAAGAGAAAGTCAGAAAACCGAACCCACGACTCCGACCCGTTGTCGGCTCTGACACAGACACAACACACAGAGGGAGAGAACACATGTTAGTTGGTGTGTCACGGCGTCGTCTCATTTGGTCAGTCAGTCACCTTTGGGGATGTATGCGTCGGTGACTTCCCCAAACTTGGCGAAGTACCGCCTCAGATCGTCAGCAGAGGTGGAGTACGACAGCCGTCCGACGAAGAGCTTGGAGCCAGGGAGGGCCATGTGCGACGGCACGCCACCGAGACCGCCTGGCATGGGCCCGCCCACCGACGGCGGATAGGGCGCTCCCTGACAACACACACACATGGCCAGACATGGATGCCCAATAATGCCCGTATCTTCCCCCCTTGCCCCCTTCATGTTGCCTTCCTTACTTGTGGTGGGGTGAGTACCCTGGGGTACTCGCCCTCTTCCCTCATCCAGGAGTCCTTCCTGATGCCCCCCGGATATGGCGTCCCATACGGCGGTGGCGGACCCGCCGGCCAGGGCGGCGCGCCATGCGCTGGGGGAGGCTGCCCGCGAGCCGCCGGAAAATGGGAATCGGGGGGCGCACCGCTGATGAACGACGTGCGAGTCGTCGAACCTGCACACACACACACCACCACACCAGAGAGCATCCTCGTGTGTGCATTGCATTGGACGGATGTGATGGTGCCCTTTCGATCAGGTGTGTACCTGTGGGCGGTCCTGCTGATGGTGGGGTGGGTGATGGGACGGGGGATGGGCCCTGGGGAGGGCCCAGGGGGGGCTGCGCGCGATCCTCGCCACGCTCAGACATGCGAACCTTTGCACCGAACACTGCACAACACAACACCGCCATACACAGAATGGTGCATGTGGGAACCTGTCGGCCTGTGCTGTGGTGGGCTGTCTTACGGTCGTTTCGGTCTCTCGATACGGCCCGATCGATGACCACCTGGCGATTGTGAACGACGTGCATCGGCGTTGCTAAGGCCTGCAGGAGAAGGGAATGCACACACAGGTCTACTGACCGGCCATCTCGCCCGCCCTCGTGCGCATGCGCGTACCCTTTCGACAGCTTGCTGGTCAGTGAATGACACGAATCCGAATCCCTTGTTCATATAGGGCTTGTAGGGGTTGCGCGGCACATACGCATCGCTCACCTCGCCAAACTGATGAACACGACACACACACCGATCATCCATCCATACGAGTGAACAGATTCTCTGCTTTTCTCTCTCCCCTTCCCACCTGCTGGAAGTGGCTCCTGAGATCGTCCCCAGTGACCTCAAAGGGCAGTTTGGTGACGAAGAGTCTGTGCCTCAGTGCGACTAGATTCCTCCCTCCCTCCTCTCCTGGCCCTCCAGGTGCACTTGGTCCAGCCCCCGTTGGCTGAGCCGGTTGCTGCATTGGGTCGGAGGACGCTGCATAAGGGCGTTTCGGGCTGGCGGGTAACTGGCTGTGTGGTGGAACCGGCAGAGAGCCGCTGCTCATCGAAGGGATGCCGAAGCCGACCCACACACGAGAACAACCTAGCAGCTGCCGACCGATGACGCGCAGTCGTCATGCAGGCGGCGGCTCCCAAGCAATGGAAAAATCACGAGCGGGGCGGGATAATGACTCATGGCTGGGCGGGGACGGGCACACTCATCGCATCGCTTTCACCGGCTCCTGCTTGCCCTCTCCTTGTCCCTCCCTCCTCGGACACACAGACCGCCTCTCGTCCAATCAATCGCTCGTTCGGCTGCTTCCTCAGTAATCAAGCAGCTCACGCTGAAAAATGAATTGGGTCTCTGGTCGGCTCTTGTGACCTCTGCCGTGTGCACCCACGCGGTTGGAGGCCAGGGGCTGGGAGATCTGGCTCTCGTGGCTCGCGAAGTTTCTGCGCGCAGAGCGGTAAATTCATGCGTTCCCCATGCGACAGGCTCTGTCTGGTGCCGCCATCCTGCCGCCCCAGTCTGCATGCATTATCACCTTCTCAGGCCAGCCGAGGTCGAGGAACTCGCAGTCAATGCCGCATCCCAGCTGCAGATCTACACGTCTTGGACCTCCCTACATTCCAGGACACTCAACTTGATGCCGCTGCTTGCACGTGGTATAGCTCCACCGATACTATGCGTATGGCGCCACCGGCGTCAGCAAATTGACAAGGGGCTCAATCGGTGCCTGAATCTGCTGGGCCTCTTCGGAGGTTGCTGGAGTGTTGGATTGGTCCGCAGGCCATTCTGTGGCTCCTCGGAGGTTCGTGAGTCGCTGGTCACATGCCAGACGTGTGCAGCCGCGTGCGCGTGCGCGTGTGGACATGTCGATGGTCGATGTGGGCGTGTCGAGATGTGTTATCGATACATGAGTGCATTCAGACTTGCGTCTGTGCCTTTGTATGCGATGGACTGACTGTCTGAATGTGTGTCACTGAATGGACTTACAGGCAGCACGTGTTCACGTGTTGACTCACCCTCATGCACACATTCACACAGCATCATGCTGCACACACACGGTCGTGTGAGGTGACTCGGTTCAGATGATCCCTTTGTCTCGCATTCTTTGCAAGCGCACCAGCGCCTTTTGCTCAACCGCAATAGAGCCGTTCCTCTCACACAGATAGGCTTCAGCATACTCGTCATACCTACAGACAGACAGACAGACAGACAGAAAAGCAGACAGACATCAAGTGCCTGCATGTCTGCCCTACTTGGGGTGCCTTGTCGAGCGGTGATCAAAGAGGTCAACGTATCGCGAACCGTCCCACCACCAGCCCTCGGGCAGATCGGTGGTGTCGCACTTGGATGCGACAAGACAGTGCTCGGCCTCCGACAGATCAGTCGCCTTGACCGGGGTTGGGGGAGATGGCAAGGGAAGCCTGGACGCATCCATGCCATGCAAAGGGGAATATGCGGTGGGAGGCTTCTAGCAGTCTGAGTGAGCTTCTCTTTTAACCTGCACCGGTCCACCGCATCTGTGACGGCCCTCTCGAGGTCACTCGCCGTGCGGTCCGCTTCTCTCTCGCTGCTCAGCAGCCATACGATCGCCTCTCCTTTGCAGCCACCTCCAGGGTGGCAGCCCTCGGCCGCGGACAGCCACGTCACCGACAGGCCGGAAGGGGGGAAGGGCTGCTGGGATGTCTCGATGAGCGACAGCAGCCCGCTGCATTGGGATGATGGGCGCAGCTGCTGCATTTGGTTGTATACTGTGTCGCTGCTGTGGGATATGAGGTCGGCCTTGAAAGCACCGTACGTGCCCTTGTATTTCTCGCATGTTGCCAGCAGGACAGCCTCTTCCTCGTCCTGGCTGTCTTGCTCCTCTGGCGAGACAGGCCGAGTGGAGGGATGGGATACGATCATTCGGACCGGTCTGCGCAACACTTCATCACTCAATGCTGAATGCATGTGCTCCTGCCCTCTCACCTTTTCACGATGTCCATCAGTCGCTCCTTCGCTGTCTGGACCAGAATGGGGAACTCAAACGGGATCGCGACTCTTCTGACCACGACCTTTGCTTGTGTCTCATTGGGTGATGTGGTGATGGACGGGGCGAGAAGACGCTCCAGCAGCTGCTGGGGGTCGTGAAAGTGCGGCACAGACGAACCGTCGGCCATGAGCTGAGACACCAGTGTGTGTGAGGGGTTGGTCGCGCGGATGATGGGCACGCCAGCACACAGGGAGCGGACGGCCGACAGCATCAGCTCCGTCGCCTGCAGGCGTGCATCCATCCATAGGATGAGAGGCACAGACACGATCGTGCGGCACTGATCCGATCTCACCTGTTTGCTCTTGAGCTCATCAACGGTAGCCGACAGTTGTTCCGGCGCTGCCACGACAATCTGGCACCAGCCGGGCACAAAGGGCAGAGGCAGCCACGGGTGACGGAGGGCTGCACACACACACACGGAGCCACACACGGATCGGCTCCCACACCAGAGCGCAATTCTCACCCGTTGCACATGGTTCGCTGGCGTCACCACCCACATGGAAGCTCGACGCATCAGCGAGCGCCACAACAGCGCGACACGTGACCCGCTTCGTCACCTCCTGGTTGTCCATCAGCACAGGCAGTATGCGGCAAGGGAACGCCGGACCGCTCAGACACATCACCACCCACGATCCCTCGTCTGCTGACATCTTCATGAGCTCCCCTTCTGCCCGCTTGATGCTCACATCGCCACAGTCATCGAGAGAGACCACCGGCACTGTTTCGCTGCGGGTCCGCTTCTGCAGCTCCGATGCGACACGCTCGGCGAAGGGTGCGAGGGAGAGGTGGCTGGTGCTGTTGCTGCCAGGGAGGGCGGTGATAACGAGGAGGTTCCTGCGGTTGGAGAGGCCGGATTGGGCAGTAGGCAGCTCGTTGTTCATCAACGACACCCACTGACGGCGCGCCCTAACAAATGAATGACAGGACAATGGAGGTACGGTGACTCAGTGGCTCTCTGCTCTCTCACCTTGCCACAAGCGTGTGGGAGTGGTTGTCTCCGAGCAGGGTCGCCATACAGAGGGCCTCAAAGCTTTCCCTCAGCTTCTCATCCCTGAAGCGCGGCACTTCTGTGAGTGTGGGTGCCTTCCCGTAGTCCCTCTCCTCCACTGATGCCAGCCCGTCCTGAATGCCACGCACCAACGCCCTGGTCACCAGTCGGCTCCCACTCTCCCGGGCAGATGTGGTCTTGGCAAGTACGTCATCTTCCACCACAATCTCCCACTGCTGCCTTCCCTCCTCTGTCTGTGTGGCCTGCCACTGCCGCGCTATGCCGATCGGCACAGAGACGGCCACATAACGAAGAGAGAGGGGGTCGCTGTGGCCGCTTGAGCCGATCACCCACACATTACCGTGGCGGGCTGCAGAGCTGGATTGAGTCATCGTGACCATCCGGATGTCCGACAGCTCATCGAGACGGATAATATGCTGCCCTGTCTTGTGGCTTGACACGATGTAGCCCCGCTCATGCGCACGCACGGATCCGGTGATGGTCAGGGGGAGGAACACGGGGGCGGGCGAGCGGCTGCTTGTTGTTGTGCCATAGAGCAGCTGCAGGCACGGCCAGTGGATACCTCCAGTCGCCTCCTCATCGATGGTGTTGCCGAGGCCACGGTCCGCAGAGATATGTGGCGAGCGTCGGGTGAGCGTCCACCGATCGAGACATGGGATGGAGGCCGTGATCCTATGACCAACGGCCCTCATTCCCCGCCCCTCTGTCGGCTGCGTGATGAAGAACGAATCACCATAGCTGACAGTCCAGTCATCTGCATTGCCCAGCGTGAGTGAGATGAAGACGAGCAATGTGGCGGGGGGCCGCTTGGTGGTGGGAGAGAGGAAGACCCGCAGACCACACGCATCAAAGACCTCCAGCTGAAGAAGAAAGGCATATAGACATTCATAGGTGGATACACTGGCGCATTGTGGTGCCATATTGCTTCACTTGCCTCAAGTGAGAAATCTTTGCAGAGGTCGGCAGGCTTGGCAGGGTCCTCCCCGGTCGCTGCCAGCTGTGTGGAGAGCTCCTCCACCACCTTTTCGTGTGCCTTGTGTCTCAGGCACTCCCGTGTCTCGTCCTCAGTCGAACCAAGGAGGGTCTTCTCTTGGGCGAGTGGATCCTTTGTCAGGTACGCAATGGACGCACCCAGCGCGCTGATCAGCGCCAGGTAAGCGCACTCCCTCACCGTCCTCGTGTCTCCTCCTTTCTTGTCTCCATTGATGCCATCGATCTCGGCTTCCTTGTCGATGAAGTATGTCCGTGTGGCCTGGCAGCCCGTCGCTGGGTCGCTGGCGTGCAAGACCAGATGCGTTGGACCAGGGATGCTGCCGACTGTGATGGTCTCTCCCCTCTCTGTCGCCTCTCCTTCCCCAATGCAAGCCGACTTCTCATACACCGCCCTTGCAGCACCATTAACGGCCACACGCTTAGAGAGGGCCGTCATCCGCTCATTCACAACGCCCTCAGGCAAGCCTTCCATAAGCGCATAGGCGAAATGGCTCGTCAGCGGCTCCACCAGCTGGCTCAGCCGACATGCCGCCCGCTTCTCGGGGGCCTTGCTGTCGAGGGCAGCGAGTGTCTGCTGCCATGCGTGTGTGAAGAAGGGCAGGGGGCCATTGATGGTTGTGGAGAGGGATGAGAGGTCCCACTCGGCGAAAAGCGTGGCGCGGAGGGCGGGAAGGACCCCTTTGGGCTGTTTCGTGGCAGAAAAGAATCCGAGATGGAAGTCGTCATAAGCATACGATTGGATCAAGGGCCACTGCTCTGACGATTTAGAACATTGTAGAGAGAAAATTGGTCATCATATCTGCCGGGTGTGTGTCCTTGCGCCCCTCATACCTATCTCAGATACTTGGTCCGGATGTATCGGGATTCCCACCGCTTTGACGCCGCGGACAGCATCGAGGAAGCAAGCCACCTTGAGCGCCTCAAAGGCCGACGAATCGGCCTCTACCTCCGCTGAAGGGGATACGATTTCACACCCAGGCCACAGTGCAAGCCGCTGTGTGAGGGGGTCGTGGAGCGAGGAGGGGCAGAAGACCACAATGCGGGTGGCCGAGATGACACAAAAGACGTCGTCGTATTGGATGTCGAGGGACTCGCTGACACGTCGGCCGCATTTGCCATTGAGCAGATAGTTCGCCAACGCCCTGCTCCCGTCGTTTTCGTGCCCATCGTAACCTGCAGAAGGAATAGATCGGACAGATCCCTTGTGTGTGTGGCTGTTTTTGTACAGGAACAGTACTCACCAAGGATAAGAAGGAGAGCGTCCAGCTCCAGCGCATCCAGCAGCTGTTTTACCCTGACGAGTCGGCCCACCGGAGCTGCCCCAGTGGTCTGTTCGGCACGGGACGACACGACACGCGAGAAGAGCTCACACGCTCGATTGAGTGACATGACTTGGTTCCCGTGAGACGATGTGATCGCAGGCCCAGGATGCTGAGACGAAGTATAAGGGAAGAATGACGACCGCTGCCAATGAGACGGTGCCGCCCCCACCCCTCTTTGAGCTCGCAAGTGAATGACAGAGCAGTAGATCTGGCGATGGCAGGGCGGCTGCGGCCTCCCGAAAACCTCCCTGTCAGCTTTGACTGCCGAGATAAGTGGCCTGTTCTGAGAGCTGTCCTCGACCAACCCGTCCAGCAAAACGCCGGCACATGCTGGATCCACGCACCCGCCGTTGGATGGAAATGCTATGCCTTACAGCAAAGCGGCTGGCAATCTGAGGATCTCCGGGAACTGTCCCATCTGTGCACTGAGGAGCGGGTGATGCGTCTGTGCGGTGTTGCCTCTGCTGAAGATGGTGGAAACCCTGCTCATGCACTGGAGTGTCTGACCGGTGCGCCTCCTATGCGCGTTGGCCATGGACGCACGGAGCATGAGAGGGTGGAGGAGATCTGCCGGTACAGATGAAGTAAAGAGATGATATACGAGACCGATCTGTTTGGGCATCCTTCTTATTCAGATGGATCGAGCACAAGGGGCCCGTCGTGTCCACAGGTACGTTTGAGGGATACTTTGGCACCTGTTGATTGGCGTCCTTTGATTCAGGTTTTGAGGTCACGGCTGATTTCACTGGCGCGCCAGAAGGCGCGTACGACACGCAGAGTGGGCACACGACACCGCGGGGCCTGCACGCCGTTGTCATCGACGGCTGGAAGAAGATGCCATACGGCCAGTGGGCGTAAGTGAAGATGACTGGCTCATCCGCTACTATCGGCCCTGTAACTCTGCTGCCTGCGTGCCTGCCTTTTTTTTGCAGGTGGTTAGTCAAGAACAGCTGGGGCGATCGGTTAAATCACAAGGAGGTCCCCTTCGGCCAGGACGGCATCGATGCCGGGGTCCTCGGCATTCCGCGCTTCCCTCTCGGGTACCCTGCGCCCTCGCCCATCCCCCGGTGGCGTCTGGCCATCTCGGGAGAGCCCCTGTGTGGGCCGTGGCGGGAGAGGGACAGTACTGACTCGACATCCTACCACCTTTGTTACTACGTCGAGCGGCAGACAGGAGAACGGCGGCTGGCCTTTGTGGCAACACCAGGCCCTGACTTGTGCAAGTGCTGCGTGCTCCCGATCACTAGCCAGGCGAGGGAGACGGGTGTGCATGAGGGGAATGGGTGGCTGACTGAGGAATTTATGGACAACTCACTGCTGTCGTCTCTCGGGGTGAGGCCCGATGAGTCAGGCATTTTGTGGGTCTCAGTGCGACTCCGTGTGACGGGAGAGGACGAGCTTGAGCTCTCGTTCAAGCGGCAGGACAGGGGGTACACCATGTTCGTGTACGAGAGAGTCAGATTCTCGGGTAGTCGCGAGGGGAGAAGCACGCTTAAGGAGCTGCAGTCACCGGTTGCCCCATCGTATCAGCCTGTGTACGTGGTGGGTGAGGAGGGGGGAGGGTGTGGAGTGCCATCGCCAATGCTCTGTGACTGAGCAGGCAAGCGATTGGTTCGGTGTGAGTGTGGTGCGAAGTGTCCTGTTCTGTTCTTGTCGGCCGATTTTTGTGGTCGACTCATACGTGCGACAGTCTGACGGATGCGCTGGACACAGTGATGCCTGACTGTGACGTGAGTGACGTCCTGTACAAGCGTCTCATGAACATATCTATACACGTGCGTCTGGGCATGGTCCAGAAGCCAACACGGCTATAGCTACATATCTGCGCCCTCATTGATCTGCACATTGGGGGTCACTTGAGTGATCCCCAGGTCTTGCCGGTCTTGCACCTGACCTTCAGCGGCACCTTCAGCCGAACCACACGCTCCATCACTGACACCACCACTGAACTGCACACACCAACGCGCACGCACACACCGCATACACATGGTGTTGCATGCACCACACAAGCGCTTCTCAGACTGACCTGACATGGTCGAGCACGTCGTCCCTGACTTCGAACAGCAGTTCGTCGTGCAGCTGCAGCACCAGACGCACAGAACGGTCGCACTCACACGCACTACCAACCCACTGGCCCCCCGATGCGGCCGATGCTGCTGCTGCTGCTGCTGCGGGCGATGCTGCAGGTGACGTCTTGGGCGGTGTGTGTGGGTATTTCGATCGGTGGGTGGGGGGGTCTGTTTGTTGGTCGAGGGCGTCGGTGACGGCCACCATGGCACACTTGATGATGTCCGCACCAGACGCCTGCAGCCAAAGAGGGAGGGAGGCAGGCAGACAAGTGGAGAGGGGGTATGTGTGTGAGTCTTTTGCATCCCTTTCTGCGTACCTGGCACAGTGTGTTGATGGCCTGCCGCTCCGCCTTGCTGCGCTCAGCCCAGTCGCTGCCAGCCGCCCATCGACACACACAGACACACACACACACGTGCACATCTCTCTCCTTGTGTGTTGCGTGGATGCCCTTGCTCATTCCCGCGCTGTCTGACCTGCTCTTGAGTCCCGGTAGGTATCTCCGTCTACCGAGCAGCGTCTCCACGTAGCCATGGCGACGGACCTTGTCGCGGCACCGCTCCAGCAACGACCGTGCCCCCTGCACAGTCAGTCGCATGGTGATGCACACGGAGACAGAGGAAGGACTGATGGATGGATGGATGGATGGATGCACGTACCGGGAATCGCTGGTGGAATCGTTTGATGAAGTCAGGTGCATCCCTGACGTCCATGTCGAGCTGCCTGGCCAGACCCCTGGCGCTCATGCCGTACAGCAGCGCATAGCACAGCCTCTTGGCACTCGCGCGCTCCTGGCCCGTCACACACGAGTCACTCTGACAACACACACAGACATGCAGGCAGACAGACAGACAGATGGACGCCAGGAAACGGGTTTGTGTGTGGTGGGTGGATGGGCACCTTCTCGAATATCTCGGCTGCGATGGTCGTGAATGGGTCTTTGCCCTCGTTGAATGCCCGCAGCAGCATGGGATCACCGCTAAAGTGACAAAACAGCCGAAACTGCACACGAGTGCACACAGCACAACAGCGCAGCCCGACACGGCCACAATCCACCACCAACCACATCACACGCCATCTTCCCCCGTCTGTCCGTCTCACCTCTATCTGTGAGTAGTCGACAGTCAGGAGGGTCCAGCCGTCCTCACACCGAAACATGTCACGCAAGGTCACGTTGCTGACAAGCACCTTTGGCGGAGCTCGCTGCTGTTGCTGTTGCTGTTGCTGCTGCTGCTGCTGTGGCGACCCAGCGGATGCAGCGGGCGGCAGGGCTGGTGGCTGTGGGGGTGTGGCTTGGGGCGGGGTAGGCGGCGGCACCTCTGATGTGCATCGGTACACCTTGTTGGCCGGGTAGGTCAGCAGGGGGCCGTCCGGCCGGTGCAGACGGACACGCACCTGGACAAAAGAGATAGGGACATACGTCAAAGAGACAGCCGACAGAGGGGCCGTGTGTGGTGCTCTTCTGACCTGCCTCACTACTTTGGCGTCTTCGTCAGAGTAGTGGTGCCCCTTCTCGCGCCAGTAGTCAACGAGCGGCTTGGCCTGGTCCCCCTTGGCCCCTGCTGCCCCATAGGGGTCCATGACCGACTTGTCGAGCAGGATCGAGTGCAGCACGCCCTTGTGGAACATGCGGCTGAAGTCCACCTCCACCGTCTGGCTGTCCTCGGGCTCGTCCCCCGGGGGAGGTTGGTCCGCCCGCTGCACAAACACCCACTCATAGCGATCACCGACAGTCTTGTTCGGATGACCACCATCATCTTGCTCGCCGTTGGTGTTGGTGCCGCCACCAGCGGCAGCGGCAGCACCCGGCACCACCCCATCTCCACTGCCAGTGCCCTGCGTGGAAGCCAGGATGCTGCGGAAGAAGGCCATTGATGCGTCGAAGAGCTGTGGGGCGAGTGGCGGTGCCGCGTGTGAGAGGCCGATGAAGGGGTGGAGTCTGTGTGTGAGGGCGGGGTGCAGGTGTGGGTGTCTGGTGATGGCAGCCATGTCTTTGTGGATGCTGGGGAGCTTGGGGAGGTAGATCAGGTGCGGGTTGTCCACCACGAAGAGGTTGGGCTCATGCGACGAGAAACGACCCGTGGCTGTCCCGGTCATGTTGAAGTGAGACCTGACACACACACACACCAATACACACATGCACACACACATGCAAGGATGTGTCTTGCCATCCCTCGTGTGTCTGACTCACTTGACGCGAGGTCTCATGAACTTGGGCGGCCACTCGCCCAGGTCGCGACCAATCGGCTGGTCCTCCGCCTGCAGCAGCTGCATCACGCATGATGAGCACAGGGGGTCGAGGCCGAATGTGGAGGTCCTCGGCCGTCCTGGTGGTGGTGGGTCGACGTATGTGGCGAATGTGGCGATGGTCTGTGACTTGCGCTGTAGGTCGATGAGCTTCCTGTACCCCTGGATCAGCTCCACTATCGGCGGCGGGTTCCTGATCGCATTCAAGATGTCCTGACACACACACACATACACCACACGAATGATATGAGCCCGCCCTGCAGTGCTGTCCGTCCGTTTGGGTCATGCCATGCACACCATGCCGGATCGGTATCTGATGTTGCCGTTCGGCTTGCGTCTGAAGGTGACGCCGTCGGGGACGGGCAGCTGGAGGTCGCGGAAGAGGGCCGCGCCGGTGTCCTCAGCCGACTGGAGGTTCACGTAGCGCCGAAACTTCGACTCGCTCCAACGCTATAGACACACACACAGACAGGCAGGTGTGTGCATACATGTATTGGGGGATGGCTGATGGCTTTCTCCCTCGCACCCACCTCTATATTCCGCAGCTGGAATTCGATCTGGTGCTGTGTGTTGAGCCACGTGGGGTGGACGGCCAGCCCGACGCTCTCCATGGCCGCCACCACACACATGCACCTCATCTCGAGATGCCGGTACACACGCCACAGCCCGCCCCCCTCCGCCGTCTGCCGCAGCTCCTCCCCCAGCCTTGCCATCAGCACCAGCAGCTCCCACTGGCTCTCCACTATCGGCTGCAGACACGCGTTGGCCAGCCGACGGGGGAAGCTGCCCATTGGCGGCCGAGAAACCGGCTGTCGGCCGCCGCCGTCAGTCTTCTCCACGCGGATGGCGTATCGCTCCGTGAGCTGGTCGTTGTACTCGATGGCCTGTGAGTCGTCCGGGTCGAGCAGCCAGTCGGCGACTTTGACGTCGCGAAACGCGCATTTCGCTTGCCAGCCGTGCATGTGGAGGTACTTGAGGAAGTCCTTGCCGTCCTCCGCCACCACCACGTGTGACGGCTCCTGCAGCCAGGCCAGCAGACACGCCGGCAGACCCGAGCCCCCCATGGACCAGGGTGAGGATACAGGTGGAGAGGGGATGAAGAGGATGAATGTGCCGAAGGCGGGACACGTGAGGGCCACCTTGATGGGGATGAGGGGGCTTGATCCCTGGGGGGCTGCTGCTGCTGCTGCTGCTGCTGCCGGTGTCTGCATGTTGAGGGTGTAGACGATGCTGATTGCGATGAGGGAGGACCCCTGCAGGGCTTGCTCGAGGTACCCCTGGGCGATCGGAAGGACGTCATTGAAGTACCGCCACTCCTCCTCACTGCTGTCGATGTCCTGCGGCACCACGTCAATGAGGATGGGCTCGGTGAGCTCCCGCGGCACCCTCATGAGCACCGACCGGTCATCGCCCTCGATCACCTCGCCACCACACAGGTCTTGCAGGCCTCTGAGCGACGGCACCACCTCCTCGGCCATATCCACGTCATCATGCCCTCGTCTTGGCGGGGGCATGAGCCAGTCGAACAAACCGCTGCTGCCGTTCTGTGTGCTGCCGTGGCCACTCTCTTCTCTTGCTCGCGGCATGGCGGGGGACGTCTGCATGGGGGAGTCGGCACCGATGTCGGGCGGCTGCTGCTGCTGCTGGTGCTGCTGGTTGTGGTGGTGGTTGGCTTCTGTGGGTGAGAGGAGGGGAGAATCTTGGCGTGTGAGGCTTGCTGGGGCCGTCAGGGCCTTCTGGTGCTCGTGCACGGCCCACTCGTCCTCGTCAGTCATGTTGAGGCGGCCCAGCTGCATCCATCGCATGGCGCACACAGAACAAGGGAATGAATGCGGGTCCTCTGCCTGCTGCATGGTGTGGGTGTGCTCTTGTTCCCCTCACCCGTCTGAGAGCGGCCCAGACAGCCTCTCTGCTTCCTCTCGGCACCGTGAAGGTAATCGAGAGCTCCTCCTCCACCCCGTGCCCCTGCCTGCCCCTCATCCCCATCGCCGCCCCCTCAGTCTTCGGCCGGTGGCCCACATCCAGATCAAGCTCCATCATCTCATCAGACACGGCGCTGCTCGGTACGTCTCCACCCTCTTGCCAATCTCCATTTCCCTCCTCCTCATGCTGGTCCATTCTCTGTCGCTTCCGAGGAGCAGCAGCAACAGCAACTGTCGCTGCGCGGCGCGGCGGTGGGGAAGGGCGGAGGGGCGGGGAGGGGGTGCACCTGGCATGGAACGCTTCGGGCTCGATCGCCATGGCGTCTGACGCAGCATTGCTGTGGGCCGATGATGCCCGCTTCCTGGGGTGGTTGGCTGCTGCCCGTCCTCTGAGAGCCGTTGCGAAGTGTCGCTGGAAGGCCTGAAGGTCGGCGGCGCCCAGGTGGTCAGTCGTGTTGACCAGCACCCCCACGCCGCCCTGTCCGTCGGCACCATCACCACCACCCTCTTGGCCGTCGCCTGTCGTCGTGTCATCCTCCTCCTGCTGCTGGTCTTGCTCGGCG